AATTTGAAAATCGCGCCGGCCGCCGAAAAGTCGCTCACTGGGGGGGGGGGGGGGGGGGGGGGGGGGGGGGGGGGGGGGGGGGGGGTACAGAGCACAATTTTTTTTTTTTGCTCCCGAAAATTTGAAAAACGCGCCGGCCAAAAATTCGCTCAGTGGGGGGGGGGGGGGGGGGGGGGAGGGAGGTAGTGAGCACATTTTTTTTTTTTTATCCTCAAAAAAATTTCAATTTGCACCTCCCCTCCCAAAAAAAAGGTAAAAATCACGTGATTTTACATTATTTTTTTCTCAAGGGGGGGGGGGGCGGGCCCCCAAGCCCCCCCCCCCCCCTGGATCCGCCACTGAATTAAGGAATAGTGGAAGGTATATGAATGTTTTCACTGCATGTATGTCGCTGTTTTGTTATGGCGACCCCACCACGAGCCCCGTGCTTTTAGGGAAATTTCACTTCCTGCCTACATAGCATTGTAAATATATATTTCATGATCTTTTCATTTTTTGATGAAGGAAATACATGTTGTTTAAATCTAATTTAAACATGGATGAAAACTATGTTACTTTGAAAAGCCTGATCATGAATCTCAATTTATTAATTTAAAATATAATCAGAGGTATGAACCATGTTATTAGACGGGGGCTTGTTTTGCAGGCCAAACATATTTTAAAGCCTTTTCGTATTTGCGTGAGATGTAATGATTGAAATTGATATTGGTACAGTTCAAAGGTCTAACTATAAATACTCTTCTCGGTTCTAATGTAAACAAGTTCTTAAACTGAGAAGTATGTAAACTAGGTATAGCACATTCATTTGAGTGCAACGAAACCAGTTCAGATTTCGGTATATATTTATTATTAGTGCACGTATTTCAATTTTTTTTTAATAGGAACTGACGTTTGATTTTTTTTTAAATCTGCATTTCCTCATTATGAGATAAGTGAAAGAATTGAATGGTTAAGGAAGCTTTTCTGTTCGGGGATATTTAAAGAAAATAATGTATGTTAGGAGGTACAAATAAATTAATGAAAATCAGTTGGCTGCCAGATATGACATACAAAAGAAAGAAAGAAAACACTAAATTGATGGAATGGCAGAGCTGGGGAGAGGGCTTATTTCTACTACGTGTACCCCTTACTTGATGCCAGGCGCGGATCCAGGGGGGGGGGCGAGCGGGCCTTGGCCCCCCCCCCCCCGCAAAAAAAAAAAAAAAAAAAAAAAAAAGAGAGAGAAGAAAGGAAAAGAAGGGAAAGGGAAAGAAGAGAGAAAGGGAAAGAAAAAAGTGGAAGAAAAAAGAAAAGGGGAAAGAAGGAGATCGGGGGGGGGAGGGGGCCGAAAGAGCCTTGCCTCCTAGGCTGTTGACCCCCCCCCCCCCCCCCCCCCAATCAAAAAAATAAGAGAGAAGGAAGGAAAGGGAAAGAAAAAAGGAAAAGAGGAGATACTTGCGTACTGATGGGGGGGGGGGGCTTGGGGGAAATCAAATTCAAACGTGGTTATTTCTAATTCCACAACCGTGGATTACAAATAATGCTGAAATTACTTAATTTCCGAGATTTTTTCTCACTTTTTAGTAAATTATACGTTTGTATGTGTTTGTTGGAAAATGACAAATTCCTAAATTTACAGCCAGGCAAGAAATATGATTCTTGAGATTCCTACATGTCAGGGCCCGAGGTACGGCAGGAATCGGGAGCCTCGAGCTCCCTCCACCCCCCTACACTTTTTTTGAAAAAGTGTAATAAAGAGAAATAAAATAGAATGAGAGCAAATGAGAGAATAGTTAACTGCCCGTGTTAAAAAATAATGAGGCATTAAAATATGCTCATCTGAACTGGATTAAATGCCTAAAACCCTAAGCTTCCGGGGGCTCTGGCCCTATGGACTCCACCTATAGGGCCCTACGGGGGCCCATAGATGCTTATCTGACGGTAATTTAATGCCTAAAACCCCTGATTTGGGGGGGGGGCTCTGCCCCCTGTACCCCACGCCAATAGTGTCCTGCCAGTGTCACAAAAAAAATAAGGTATACAAAAAAAAAGCTCATCGGACCTTAGTTAAACGCCTAAAACCCTGAGCTTCCGGGGCCGGCTCCGCCGTCTCGACCCCACCAGGGGCCCTAAGGCGGGCCCCTGAATGCTTATCTGACCGTAAGTTATTGCCTTAAACCCCTGAGCTTGCGGGGTCGGACAAGGTATCAAAATATGTCTATCGGACCGCAGGCACGTAGCCAGGCGGGGGCGTAGGAAGAAAAAGGAGCAGACAAAGGATATCTTTGAAATTCAGAATCAAGAACGGTACAGCAAATCGTCTTCTTTCTCTCTTAATCTTATGAAACGTCAAAGCTTCCGCGCTTTGCGCGCGGGAGGGGGGGGGACCTGAATTCAAACGAGGATCCAGAGGCGAGAACTATAATACGAATCTTTAATGATTTAACGAAACATAAAAGCTTCCGCGCTTCGCGCGGGATAGAGGGGGAACTAAATTCCGACGTGGATTATTTTCGAGAACGGTACAACGAATCGTCTTCTTTCTCTAATGATTTAATGAAAATTAAAAGCTTCCGCGGGAGGGGGGACCTGAATTCAGACAAGGAATAAGAGTCGAGAACGGTACAACGAATCGTCTTCTTTCTCTAATGATTTAATGAAAATTAAAAGCTTCCGCGGGAGGGGGGACCTGAATTCAGACAAGGAATAAGAGTCAAGAACGGTACAACGAATCGTCTTCTTTCTTTAATATTTTGATGAAACGTCAAAGCTTCCGCGCTTCGCGCAGGAGCGGGAGGGGGGGGGACTGAATTTAGACAAGGATTTAGAATCGAGAACTGTACAACGAATCGTCTTGTTTCTCGAATGATTTAATGAAACGTAAAAGCCTCCGCGCTTCGCGCGGAAGGGGGAAATTCTAAATTTAGACGAGGATTATTTTCAAAAACGGTACAACGAATCGTCTTCTTTCTTTAATATTTTAATGAAACGTCAAAGCTTTCGCGCTTCGCGCAGAGGGGGGGGAACCTGAATTCAGACGAGGATTAAGAGTCGAAAACTCTACAACGAACCGTCTTCTTTCTCTAATAGTTAAATAAATCGTAAAATTTTCCGCGCTTCGCGCGGGAGGTGAAAAACTTAATTCAGACGAGAATTTTTTTCGAGAACGGTACAACGAATCGTCTTCTTTCTCTAATAATTTAATAAAACGTCAAAGCTTCCGCGTTTCGCGGAGGAGGGAGGGGGAAACTCGCCCCTCCCTGCACCGACCCCCCCCCCGCATTATGTCACTGTTGGTCACCATTACGTACCAATATTTGGCTCGCAAAATTTCAAATTTGGGCCCCCCCCCCCCTAAGAAATCCTGGATCCGCGCCTGCTTGATGCAACTGGTCTGGTGATGTTGCCTTGAGAGTATTAAAGCCGATTCATCATGCTCATGTCGTATTCTTATCGTCAGTGCACTACACCAAATTTTCTGTAATGATTTTAAATTGAAATTTGAATTGAAATGATACAGTTGAGTTACTTCTTTAGAAGCCATTTGAAGGTGATACTGAACTGATGAACTTTCTGCCCTAGCGTATTTTTTTATTGCACAGCGCCATCTCATGGTCAACTGGCCAACAGTACGTAACCCACTAAACTCTACACTAGTACAGTGGAACCAACAGCCCAGCGAGTTACGGGACCATACTGCTACAGCTGACCTGAGATGGCGCTAAAGGTAGTGCTTCTAGAACAGTATGGCTTTAACTAGTAATTTTTTTTTTTTTTTGTATTACAGGTTACAAGTGAAATCGACTTTTTAACTTTTTGCTATTTGTATTGATTAGTTGAAAACTGCGAATTATCTAAACCATTGGCATTGACGACTAAAAAGAGAAGTTGCTTATAGTTTTCAAGAGCTTACTAATACAAAAAAAACACTTTCATGAAAGTAAGGTATGAAAATATAAATTCAAACCTTTTTTTAATATAAATGAAAATGCACGAATGAGTATTAATCCATGTCCAGATACTGCATGGATTTATAAAGGAGGCAAGCGAAACATTTGAACAAAGTTTCTGTCATTTTGTATTTAGTAATAATTATGAGACTGGCTTGAGGCCTACCTCACACAGCGCATGCGTAAAAACTAATGTGAAACTCTTTCACCTGAAATCAGACGAGAAAAAAAAGAAAAAGACAAATTATTTTTCGCCGTTAGAAACAAATTACATTACCCTTCATCTTTTGTACTCATCAGAAACTCTTTTCATCTTGAATCGAATTTGAAAAAAGATAGATCGGTTTTTCTTTTTCCCCGTTACAGGAAATCAGAACCCTTTCAAGAAATTGTGTGGACCTAAGACCTTATTGAATTACAAACAAAATTAAATTACCCTTCATCTTTTGGGTCAGAAACTCTTTTCACCTTAAATCGAATTTGAAAAAAAGATAGATCAGTTTTGCCTTTTCCCCGTTACAGGAAATCAGAACCTTTCAAGATATTGTGTGGACCTAAGACCTTATTGAATATCATTATGGAGACATTATACATGTACATTGTAAGTATTGTCTTCTAAATTATTTTAGATGAGCGGGTAAATTGAATGTCAAATGTTGAAAATAATATTTTTGAAATTACTTCTGCCATTGTAATCAAAAGATTACAGGAAGGCAAAATATCAGTAATAATAAGAAAATTATTTAGCCGTTCATACATGAAAATTGCTTCCTGAATAGATATTTGCTCAGAGACATCTGGCAGTAATTATCGATTTTGTTTGAGCTTGATGTGGAAGGTCTACTCGTGCCAACAAGAGATATCGAGTCCTTTGTTTAGGGGAAGGGGTGGTTAATGTTTTTATATGAATCTTTAAAACTGGCTGCTACAAGTAAAAGTCGTGATGAATGTAAAAACAAAAAAATGCTTCAATGTAATAGAAAAATGAAAGGAAAGACCTGACAAGCACTTTTCCCATATTGAAAAAATAATAAGCTTCGTGGAAATAATAATAATGATCAAAATGGACTTTTAAAGCGCAAAATAGACCATTCTCTCATTGCGCTTAACTATACAGCTAAAACAAAATTCAATGCTATGCTTACAAATTCCTACAGATTGATTCCTCTATAGAATAAAACAGATAATGCACTCGGTATGATATTAATAACATGAAGTAAAACATTAACGTTAACAAACTGAAACATTAAAATAAAAGGAATAATAACATTCTAAAAAAACAAATTGATAATAGATGTACGTCATGACCAATAAAAAGATCTTTGTGTCAAAAGATATCGATGAAAGTATAGGATTAAACCTAACTACAAAAATGTAAAAAGTGTTTAGATAGTGTTTTGTATGTGTCCATTTGTTTCTTTCCTGTCTTTAACTTCAATTCTTCCTTTTTCACCTTGGGATCGAGAGGGGGATACGTGCCAATGTGGCTTTACCGCTGTGATTAACGTCGCTAATTTTCCTGAATGGGAAGGTTATCTATTCATCAAATTTGTTTAATTAACTTTTTTACGGAATTACTCAAAATTGATTTTCTATGTCATTCCGTAACAAGCCTATTTTAATTCAATATTTCATAACATTGATGAACGGTTCCTTTGGAAACCGAAATGTTGTGTTAGTACCTTAAATTAGTTAATGTATCATATTATTAATTTGGAGAAATTTTATTAAAATGTCTATAACTTTGTTTATTTCAAACAGAAACTTCTCTGGAAATTTCATTCCGTAACCTCAGTATAAACGAGCGTACTATGACAGATCGTATGGCCAGCCGTCTCTCTCTCTCTCTCTCTCTCTCTCTTTCTCTCTCTCTCTCTCTCTCTCTTTCTCTCTCTCTCTCGCATCACACCTACCCACACACACTACGCCCATCTTTCCAGGTATTTTGTTCAACACGGGATCTTCATAAAGAAAAGGAGTGAAATTTAAGGGAAGTTTTATAATCACCACGATAACAAGGGGGATTTTATAATTACTACTCTGCCCTTTCCACGTCGATTCCTCTTGTGCTGATTAGTTTTTCTTCTAATCTAGTCGTGAGGCATATACTCTAATTTGACATTTCTTAAAGCTTTGAGCAGAGCCTAGCTTTGTCTGTCTATGGCTGTGTCCGGAGCACTTAGGGCGTGTTTATGCTTCACTTTTTCTGACCTGAATCAGGCATCTGTTACGCGTTTAGTTTAAAACACGGTTGCGTCCATCCTCACTTTTGTAGAATCACCGAAAAACGGCGATCACGATCGCCGATCGTAAACTCACAAAAAGATGCGTTTACAATTTGCAAACGCGTTTAAATGGGGTCAACGCACTGATCTCTAGTGGGTCTACGTAGCATGCGCACACAGGTTTGCGAATCCAGCTGAAGGCCACCCAAGGAGAATTGCCTGGAGGAGCCAGAGAAGTGAGCATGAACAGTGGAACTGCGATTACGATGAGCGTTTACGATGAGCGTTACAAATCGCTCATTCTGCCTTCAAAAGTTGAGCATAAACACGCTCTAAGAGTACACAGTCTATGCAGTATGTCAGTCTGGTCTCATACTTAGTGCAGACACTAGGGACTTTTAGATTCGCACGAAGACGATGGGGATTGCTACGGTCGACGTCCTTTTAATGCACTGCCTTGAATGGACGTCACACGTATCAGTCTACGCAAATCTTAAAGTCCCTACTGTTACGCACAGCGACTGACAAGTGTTGTGCCCACAAACTAATACTTAGCTAAACCGGTCATGGTGGCTCATGTTGGCTCAGTGGTTAGAGCGCCCTCCTCATGAACGGGAGGTCGTGGGTTCGAACCCCGGCCGAGTCATACCAAAGACTTATAACATAATTGGACCCTTCTGCTTTCTAGCTAGGCGCTCAGCATAGTAGATTGGAGAAGGGTAGTAAAAACATATTATGTTATGCAGGGCCCGCTGGAAGACACTATGAACATGACTGACAAAGAAAGCGGATAAAATATACAGTTCCTCAGGTAGAAAAAAGAACATCCCTTCTCTGCTATTATGTAAAAATGTGTAGAACAGGTGAATATGCATGTGAAACATTTTTACATAATAGCAGTGAAGGGATGTTCCTTTGTCTACCTGAGGAACTGTATATTTTGTCCGCTTTCTTTGTCAGTCATATTCATAGTGAGAGCAGTTTCATAACTGAAGTGGCTACCCTGAGTAAATAAAACGTTATTATTATCATATTTATATGATACAGATGTATTGATTTGTCGTACAAAAGGGCTTACCCAAAGAAACTTAGAGTTGAGCAAAATTTGAATTTATTTCACATTAATTGCTTGAAACACTGAAAACTATGAGTTGACGTAAACTTGTAACAACAAAAAAGGTGCGAAGAACTGCCTCATGTGCGATCGTTTTTTGTTTGTGTTTTGGTTATATTTTGTGAACTGCCTATATGTTGATATTACATAGCCACATGAGGAAAATCTAACACCGTATTTTAGATTCTACTTATCAATTATTAACATAATACATTACATACATATTATAAACGTATCCAAATAGCTAGCTCGAAAAACAGCTGATTCAAGATACCTCAATTGTACTAGATTGATAAAGCCTTGACATTAATCGTCAATATTACAAGCTCGCTAATGGCATAATTATGTTATATCTTATTTAATACTCACTACTGTAAACACCACATTACAATTACAAACCATTCTATTTGATATTCGATCCTACCCGTGTTCTCACCATACTTATAACACATCACGAAAATGCGAAGATTAAGAATTGCTAGTAATGATACATTTTGTTCGACTGATTTTTTCTTCATTCAAATTATCAAGCCTTTATAGGGCAACATAAACTTTCATGGTGTTTAAACTACAAACATACACACTATAATAAGAAATAATAATTATATGGACTGATTCCCCAAAGCAATACTTTTGTCCATATTGTCGAAATCCACACAGTGTATGTACAAATGTTGACCCATAAGTCACAACATAACACGCTATTAGAATTACATCCGACCATCTTTCAAAATGTTTATCAAAATAGACAACACATTGTTACTGTTTCTTTAGTATTCTCCGTGCGTGAGAAAGAATTGTGATTGCATTCTATAATAATTGATAATCATTAAATTTATATCTACTAATTTCTGTCTTCATATAGATGTCATACATTATATTTATGCCACACATTATATTTTCTTTTTTTACAAAAATCAGTGAAATTATTTGTAATATAACCCATTGTTGTCTCTAAGGGATGATCGGGTGATTTAAGTAAAAACAAGAATTTCATACTTTGAAACAGATTAATTAAGCCACATAGACCTTATGAAAAGTACGAATACACGCCAAGTAACATAAATAATGTAAACCAAAAAGACTATTGGGGTTCAAACCAAATATTATGTTGTTGAAAATACGCATCAAGAATCATAATACAAATGGCAACATTTTTGCAACTTTTGTGTGGTCACCATCATGAGTCCACTCTTGTTTTTGACTCTCTATTTGTTGAAAAAAGGTACCCATTTAAACAATTACATGGATCCGTGATACAGTAATAATCTCTTTTAAATATATTTTTAAAACAAAATTGGCTCCAATGTGCGCAGATGTTTGTGCCTTTTCCTCTCATTCATTTGGTATATTTTTCTAGGGCTTTATTGAAAAAAGTACCCGTTTAAACAATTACATAGAACCGTGATAAATTTCTTTTAAAGATATTTTTTTTATTCAGGCAACAAAAATGGCTCCAATGTGCGCAAATATGTTTTTCCTTTTCTTCTCATGCATGTGGCATATCTTTCTAGGGCTTTATTTTAAAAAAATGGACCCGTTTAAACAATTACACAGAACCGTGCTACAGTACTAATTTCTTTTAAAGATAATTGTTTTAATCAGGCAACAAAAATGACTCCCATGCGCGCTGGTATTTTTGTTTTTTCTTCTCATGCATCTGGTATATCTTTTTAGGGCTTTCAGTCGTAATTTATTGAACCAAACCGCAAAATGCGGGGTGGCTGTTTCGAAAGGGCTCATTTAAAGGATAAATGAATTCAATAATATTACTTTAACCGGTGTTAATCGGTGTCAGCATGGTCGTACGTGTGATGTTCTTTGCTTTTATCTTCAATGTAGGTTGCGGAATGCCCGATACCTTGCAAGTAAGTAGACAACGGAACACCTCTTTAAAATTGGGATGCTTAAGACCATAGATGATAGGGTTAAGGGAGCTGTTAAGAGACATGATTACCCCCGAATAGAGGGTAAAGATGCTAGCACCAGGAATGATGAAGTTTGCTCCTTGTGGAAAAATACAGAGTACGAAGACACAGACGACAACGAAGAGGTTTTTGGTGATTTCGATCTCGCGCTTGTTGAAACTGGAGGCGGTTGATGATCCTTTTCCAGCCGTGTTCCTCGGTCTGTCCTGCTGGTCTTTCGGTGCCTCATCCTCGCTGAATTTGGAGCGGAATGATGTCGTGCTCCTCATGACGAAATGCAGGATGAGGATGTAGAAGGTGGCGGTGACTGTGAGAGATAGGATCAATATGACCGCTTGGATGAGAACGTAGAATGCTCGTAATGGGTTGTCATCCGTCACAGAGCACAGGCGATAGAAGTCGGAATAGCCAACAGATCCTATACCAAGAGATGGAGGGGTTACCATAGCAATGACGGATGCGATCCAGATGATGATGGCGACGAGGATCATACTGCGGTGAGTGTTGATACCATGGTACCCATGGACGGAGTGTGTGATCACATACCAGCGGATGATAGAAATGGCCGTCAGGGTTAGCACACTGCAACATAGAGTCGCATAGGAGACATAGACAACAGCCTTGCAGACCACCTCTGGTAGTGGCCAGTCGGACTGACTGAGCAGCATAGCCGTCTGTAGAGGAATGATGATGCATGTCAGAAAATCTGCAATGGCGAGACTGATGACAAGAACATTCGTGGGCGTCTGCAGTTTCTTAGAGAGCATGACAGAAAGGATCACGAGGCTATTCCCTGTTATGCCCAACAGGCTTACAAAGAGAAGCAAAGAGCTACATATGATACGATGTTTGTAAGGAATGGTTGGTCCAGAGGAAAGATCCCCGCTTGAAACGATATCCGTTGTCTCGAAATAAAATGAAGTTACAAACTCAGTGACGGTGTCAGATTGGGCCATGGATGCGGTGACGTTAATAAGCGACATGTCTTTCAAACAATTTGTGATAATGATGTATCGCTTTGTACTTACAGCCAACTGATCATGCAAAAAAAAAGAACGTGCAAGTAAAATAAAAAGATTCAGTTTCGCTGGATGATCTTGCTCTGAGATGAAGAAGGAGATGACGTTCAGAAAGATAAGACTTGTGGTTTGGAATAGGTGGCGTCGTTCATTTATATAGTATCTCAGACTATACACAGCAAGCAAAAATATGACAGCCCTGGCATCGCTGATCATGTGACTAAAAGACACTTGGGAGAGAGAGGTGAGAGAGCGAGAGAGGAAGAGAGAGAGGGAGAGAGAGAGATAGTGAGAGAGAGAGTGAAATCGAGTGAAAGAGAGAGAGAGAGAGAGAAAGAGAGAGAATGCATCTATCGCCAGCCTCTCCGCCGAGAGCCCTCGAAACGAACTGCAATCGTTTTTCTCTCAATCTTTTTTTCTTCTCGAAACCATATCTCATTCATTGAATGCGAGGTATCGTATACCTAATGTATCAAGCTATAGTAATTAATGTACTGATTAACTAATCTGGTAGTAATGCATGATTTGAGAATCTATGGAACAATTCAAATGGAGATTAAGGGTAGGTGTCAGGCTGTCAGCCAGACCTGCCAACAAGTAAGCCGAAAATCATTTTGCGGATTGCAAAAATAGTTCTTTGAAAAAAATGGGCGGCGGGAGGAGTAAAATGATCCTTTAAATACACTCAGCCAATGTTTAGTCATATTTCACGTTAGAAGGATAATTGAATGTTAGGCAGTTACATCAATTTGTGAAGAAAATGAAAACTATCTATTTTTCAAAAATATGTGACATATAAAACACAATAAAACTGTTGGTGGTACGAAAAAATGCATTACAGCTGCTTTCTTTAAAAGTCCACTATCATCAGAATGGCACGACCTTCTGAAATTATTGCTTATCAGAAGCTTTGCCGCCCCCCCCCCCCCCCCCCCCTCCTCCACCTAATCGCCCAAAGCCACGGTCCTGGAAACGCCACTAAAATGATGGTAAATATTATAAAAATCAATTTAAAGAAACAACCCCATCAGCTAGATATGCAATATGCAACTTGATAAAGAATAATTATCAAGTCACAGTCAACGCGCCGTCTGGTAAACATCGGAACGACGATAGGTAGGCGTTTCCTCGACGTTTCCTCTTTCGTACGACTCCATACATTTCCTACGAAATATAAAATCTGATGAAATAAATAATGAATACATTATAATCAAATTGCCCGATTTCTGATGAAATTCGGAACATTTTATTTTTAAAAAACCCACATTTTTCTCAAGCTTACTAAATAATTTACAGTTGATAGGTTCTCTCTCTCTCTCTCCCGTTCTCTCTCTCTCTCTCTCTCTCTATCTCGCTATCTCTCTCTCTCTCTCTCTCTCTCTCTTTCCATATCGCCCATTCTATCTCCCTTATTCTGTCTCTCTCCCTCTCTCTCCATTTGTGATTGGGGGTGTTATTTAATGACCACTATGCGGGTAAAGTACTTAAATAAAGTAAAATACCGCAGATAGAGGTATAATTATATATGTGTTTTTTTGTTTTTTGTATTATCTCATCACTCTACGTAGTGTTATGAAGGAACATACACTATTAAAGAAAATGCAAGTTCATGTTGAAAATAGGGAGAAAATTATATAATCAATACACATGATACATGCAATATAGCAATAACAAAAGATATATTCTAAGATGAAAAACAGTGGTATGGAAATGAAATGTTAACTATCATTTGGGGCTGAATAGTATAAAGAAAACAATTTGTGAAGACGTCTACAATGTCAATGTAACAAAGCTCGTACCTTTATCATGACCGAAGTAAGCGATCATCTCAATATTGATTATATCACGATTCGCTCTTAAGGACGAGAGACTTTAAGAAACGTGCTGTAAAGAACAATTCTTTGACTTCAACAATATTCATAATATCAATAATTTTCTAAATCAACCTCGGTTTGCTTTGTCTAAATAATATTCCATCGTTACTCTTGTTCTTTATTTCTTATATCTGTACAGCTTGTGCAATTCTCAAATTTGATTTTCGGTGGTTTACTCGACCTTTATTTTTGTCGGTATTTTTGAAGTTCATAAAGTAAAGGTAGAAAAGCAATATATTATTAGATTACGGTTGTCTCGATCCACATGCCCGAATGCCCTTGCTCTATAAAGTAATTATACTTACCCTTGAATATATATTCTTTATATATTTCTACGAGCAGATAATAATCACACAACTATTACTACTTTTACTACTACTTCTACTACGACTTCTACTACTACTACTACTACTACTACTTCTACTACTACTACTATTACTACTACTACTACTACTACTACTAATGATAATAATGATAATAAAAATAATAATGTTAATAATGATAATAATAATAGTAGTGGTATAATAGACTACATATTTATGTAGTAAATTGATATTGCTTAAAAAATCAATGCGTTTTACAATGTTTTTATCATTACACCCTCAGCAACATCAAATCCTCTCAGACTAGCATTGAATTCGAAAAAAAATAATATCATATGGTGAGAAACCATAATCCCGATAGCATTGCTCTGTTCGAAAGGACGTGTATGCTTAAGTTTTTTTTTTATATACCTCTCTTTAGTATTTTGAATAAATCTAGTCTTCTGATTGGTCGATATCGGAGTCGTGATTTTAGCCATGCCCGCCTACCGGTCAATAGTTTTTTAAAAGATGCCCGCATGCCCGCATACCGGGCAATATTTTTTTAAATTTTTTTAAAAACATATTTCTGTTGCCCATGGTAACGGGCCGCATAAATACGTTTTGATGAGATCCCCATTGGTTTACGTGTAAAAAGTTTCTTTGTGCGAGCGCGGATATCATACAGGGCTAACACGTTTGCCACGTGTGACGGACGTGTCTTTGGTTCTCTCTCGGAATATACCGAAATATTTGGAATTATCTTTGAAACGTACTTTGGAATTCAAATGGTAGCATTTGGAAAGATTTATAAATTTGGATTATTTCTGTAGGTAAACAATTATTTTGTGGGCTTTCTAACACAATCCTGCACCTTCTAACCTAATATAGCACGTACGACGGCATTCAAATTTCCCGCCTTTTCTGGGAGGCCAATCATGGCGACGGCTTCGGCTCTCTCTGAGCCGGAACTGTCTGTGAGAAGTGAAAGTGATGACGTGTTCAGAGTAGTTACTCATAATCGACCTAGGAAAGGAGAACCTAATCAAAAAAGAAGACGAGAAGAAAATGTAGCGGTAGAAAACTTAAACACTAAAACATCAGAATCAGACTCAAACACCACGGTTTATCAAACCCCTTCTCCTGGCAAAGATCCAAAGCAAACAGATTTTAAACTGTTCATTACCCCAATAGACAAAAATAAATCTTTAAAAGATATGAGTCCCATAAAAATCGCACGAGCGATTAAAGATGTGTGTGTTAGTCCCGTGGAATTCATAAAACCTGTTAGCTCTGGATTACTAGTTAAGTGTAAGAACATAAAACAAGTTCGAGCAATCCTACAGTTGGATAATAAAGGGAATATTCCCGTCAAAGTGACCGAGGGTGCAGGAGGCGCCAAAGGGGTAATTTACGACCGAGGAAGAAATTTTGTCTGAATTAAGAACGCAACAGGTAACAGCGGTTAAAAGAATGACAAAAAGCGTGAAGAATGGAGAAGATAAAGATCAAATAAACAAACGAATCAAAGCAGATTCCTCTAACAAGCGTCATCCTGACCTTTAGTACATCCACTCTACCAACATAGACAAGGATGTGCTACCAAATAAAGTTGGTAAAATTATACATTCCAAAAGTAGTCAGGTGCTTCAAGTGCCAAAGATTTGGGCATGGGGCAGCAGCGTGCCGGTCTAACATGAGATGCGTTAGATGTGGCGAAAGCCACAAGTTTGAGGAGTGCGCCAAAAAAGACACCCCGAAATGTGTAAACTGCGGAGGCGAGCATTCTGCTGCTTATAATGGTTGCACACAAGCAAAAAAAGCTAAACAAGTACAACACATCAAAATCACAGAAAAAATCACATATGCACAAGCATCACAAATATGGACAAATAAACAAAATCCCCCTCAAACTAACATTGTCACACAAACCTCCCAAATGAGGAAAGAGGAACAAGAAAACACACAAATTTAACCAAGAGATGCGATACCTGGCTCATATGCCATCGCTGCAACCACACAAAACGTACCTCCCGCAGCCACCAGCACCCCATAAAATCAAAATGTCTTACCACCTCGAACAACCTCAAAACATCCTTCGAAAATCCCTCGAAAAATCCCACAAAATCCTTCAACAACATCAACAAACTCCACAACAATCACTTCAAAAAAAGACAATGAAAAGAAAGAAAATCCTTCTGTACCCATGAACTTTATAGCTACAGCAAATGATGATCAGATAATTGACTTTATATGTCAATTGATCATCTCACTCACAGAGGGCAAAACTCTCAAAGAAATAAATAATTTAGTTCTGGTCGCAGTGAAAAGATCGCTGCAGCAAATAAGTAGTGCTAACAATGTTGATAACAATACTTAAAACATTGATGATACTGTTTTTCATACTACAATGGAATGCACAGGGATTACTAGGGCATGGAAAAGAACTTATAAAGTATTTGAATACACATAAAAATTGCTATGATTTGATATGTATACAAGAAACATGGTTTCAGGAAAATAGAGTTCTTCAAATTCCTGAATACTGTAACAAATCAGGGCTTTAGTATTGGACGAAGGTTAAGCATTTTCTGTTGTACGAGCATGCGCTATAGCAATATGGTGCATCGTTGATTTAGCAATTACCAAACTGAAGGAAAATGAGCATAAATTACATATTTTGATCATGTTGGTGCAATTATCATGTTTCTTTTGGGGATATTACTTGTATAGTAGTGATCTAATCAGGAATAAGGGGTTATACTGAAGATTATATGTGAAGATTTTATGGGATTAGCAGAAATGTTGTGTTGAAGTGTTGTTTTACTAACGAGGACATAATTGTTCTTTTATACGGTTATGTATAGGGAAATTTTTAAGATGGGCAGGATTGTGTATTTAGGGCTTTCCACTGCACTGTATCCGTTGTACAGGCCAGCCTCACCGAGGCTAACCTGAAGTTTGCACTCGTGTTATCATACCTGTTGACCAGGTGAGCATTAAAGCCTTTTGACTTACAATTCAATATTCTGGTTTAATTTCTTAGAGCAGTGAAATTACATTGAGTGATTAAGAAGAGATGATTGATTGATTGCTCGAAGGATGTTCAATTGACTGTTGCTGTGCAAAACGATTGGGGTGACCGATTGCAGTCGAAGGATGCACGATTGTTGATATACGCCCTGTGACGTGACGTGAGCAGTGAAGAAATTCAGCCATCAAGCTACGGGCATATATTTTGTCCAAACGGACGGAGAGCGCCTGGCCGACACGGGGCATCCTGACAAATATTCCGTGTCAAGCCAAGGGGACGAAATCGTGTCCGCCACACATGGTGTCAGAAGTGGGATAGCTGATGGCGTGGAGTGGTCGAACTGACGGAGCTAGGGGACGACGGCAGTAGCACTGACGGAGCTGGGGGACCATGGGCAGTAAGTCTGACAGGCGTCACAAGCTGGTAGAGCTGACGGAGCTGGGGGACGACAGGCAGTAAGACTGACGGCGTCACAGCTGGTTGAGCTGGGGGACGACGGGCAGTAGGTCTGACGGCGTCACAGCTGGTTGAGCTGGTGGACGACGGGCAGTAGGTCTGACGGTGTCACAAGCTGGTAGAGCTGACGGAGCTGGGGGACGACGGGCAGAAGGCCTGACGGCGTCACAAGCTGGTAGAGCTGACGGAGCTGGGGGACGACGAAGGGCAGTAGGTCGGACGGCGTCACAGCTGGTCGAGCTGACGAGGCTTGGGGGCGACGTGCAGTGAGACTGCCGCGTCACAGCTGGTCGAGCTGAAGGAGCTTGGGGACAACGGGCAGTAAGACTGACTGCGTCACAGCTGGTCGAGCTGACGGAGCTTGGGGACGACGGGAGGTAGCATTGACGGTGTTGCAACTGGTCGAGCTGACGGAAGTGCGGAACGACAATGGAGAGAAAGAACAATGAGCCCAGGGATGCTGAGAAGGAAAGGAAACGAACTAACTTTTGAACAGTTGAACACTTTTGGAAAAGAGCCATTTTGAACTGTCAGAAAAGACTTGGATTTTAGTTTTAATTTGTTTTGATAACATGTTATGATTTGTTGTTGTTGCATAAGTTAGAGATAAGTTAGCTTGGGGACCAAGCTTGGGAGGGAAGGGAATCGTGTAACAAATCAGGGCTTTAGTATTGGACGAAGGTTAAGCATTTTCTGTTGTACGAGCATGCGCTATAGCAATATGGTGCATCGTTGATTTAGCAATTACCAAACTGAAGGAAAATGAGCATAAATTACATATTTTGATCATGTTGGTGCAATTATCATGTTTCTTTTGGGGATATTACTTGTATAGTAGTGATCTAATCAGGAATAAGGGGTTATACTGAAGATTATATGTGAAGATTTTATGGGATTAGCAGAAATGTTGTGTTGAAGTGTTGTTTTACTAACGAGGACATAATTGTTCTTTTATACGGTTATGTATAGGGAAATTTTTAAGATGGGCAGGATTGTGTATTAGGGCTTTCCACTGCACTGTATCCGTTGTACAGGCCAGCCTCACCGAGGCTAACCTGAAGTTTGCACTCGTGTTATCATACCTGTTGACCAGGTGAGCATTAAAGCCTTTTGACTTACAATTCAATATTCTGGTTTAATTTCTTAGAGCAGTGAAATTACATTGAGTGATTAAGAAGAGATGATTGATTGATTGCTCGAAGGATGTTCAATTGACTGTTGCTGTGCAAAACGATTGGGGTGACCGATTGCAGTCGAAGGATGCACGATTGTTGATATACGCCCTGTGACGTGACGTGAGCAGTGAAGAAATTCAGCCATCAAGCTACGGGCATATATTTTGTCCAAACGGACGGAGAGCGCCTGGCCGACACGGGGCATCCTGACAAATATTCCGTGTCAAGCCAAGGGGACGAAATCGTGTCCGCCACAATACACATGTCTTCCAAGAAATAGGGAAAATCAGGCGAGGGGAGGATGTGCGATATACGTTCATAATAAAATCAAGTATGAAGGTCCAATGAATGATGTAAATTTAGAAATACAGCAAGTAAACATACACGCAGGAAATGGAAAGTTATCAATTGTGAACTTTTATAATCCTTGTAAGAAATTAAATGAATATACTATGAATGTGCTATTAAAAAACGTTAATAAAAATGATAAAGTTATTATAGTAGGCGATTTTAACGATCATGGTACCATGTGGGGAAATGACAAAACAGACAAGAATGGACAAGTGATAGAACAATTCGTGAATCATCATACTCTAACTGTTTTGAATGCTGGCGAAGGAACCAGACTGGATCCACGAACAGGAAAACGGTCATGCTTAGATTTATGTATAACCACTCCTTCACTGGCATGTAGAAGTACTTGGAGAGTCATGGAAAGCCTTTTTGGAAGTGATAACTTCCCAATAAATATCCAAACAACTTTAGACGGGAAAAGCTCTGAATATAAAGATGCTTCAATAAGAAGTGCAGATGATTTTATCTCCTTTAAACATATAAATTTGGAAAAATTTGCTAAGAAATGTGAAGAGATGATTACAAATGATCTCATACTTATAAATAATGATATACAGGAAATATACGATAATTTCATGAAATATTTAAAACTGTGTATAAAAGAAACTGTACCGAAAAGGAGAAATGTCTCTAAAAATCCGGTGCCTTGGTGGACCAAAGAATGCACAGAGAAAATCAAAGAGAGAAATAGAATGTGTAATAAGATGTCACGGAAAATAACTTTTGAAAAGGTAGGTGAGTACTTAAAAAAGAAAGCAGAAGCACAGCGTGTGCTCCGCCAAGCAGAACGAAATTACTGGCGAGCATTTTGCACGAAGCTTGATCAGTATATGCCAGAATCTAAGATCTGGGCTTGTATAAAACGGCTGAATGGTGTACTAAAAAAAAAATTTAAAAATATGTCAACATTGATTGTAAATAGTAAAGATATTGTCTCCGATCAGGAGAAAGCAAATGCCTTTGGAAATTACTTTCAAAAAATAGGAATAAAAGACAGGGATACTAATAAGGAATTACCGAAGGCACCAAACAATGACATTCATATTTTAAATGTAGATCATGTTATAAATGAACCCTTTTTTATAACAGAATTTGAAAAGGCAGTGCAATTGCGAAAAAGGACTGCCCCAGGAAAAGATAATATACCTTACGTCGTTTATGAAAATCTGCCAAAAGCAATCAAGGAAATCATGCTGAATATCATTAACTTAATATGGAAAACCGGGGAAATTCCAATTCAGCTAAAGCATTCTATAATAATCCCCATTATCAAACATGGAAAAGATCCCAGAAATACATCGTCTTATAGACCAATTTCTTTAACATCATGTTTTGCCAAGATAATTGAACGAATGATAAAAGAAAGACTACAATGGTATGTTGAAAAGCATGAATTATTACCCAATTTTTTAAGTGGATTTAGGAAAGGTGGTAGTGTGACGGACAATATTGTACAATTAGAAAACGACATCCAAAAGAGCATAAACTGTAACGAACATGTAATAGCGGTTTTCTTGGATGTCGAGAAAGCGTTCGATACAGTTTGGATAAAGGGTCTGGTTTTTAAATTAGCAAAAAATGGAATAGAAGGGAACATGCTGAGGTATATAGAAAATTATCTAAGAGCACGAACTTTTCAATTACGAATTGGAAATACAGAATCTAAAACTTATAAAACGCATAACGGGTTACCACAAGGGAGTGTTTTAAGTCCTCTTTTATATATAATGATGGGTGATATACCGACAGACCAAGATGTAAGAATATCTATGTATGCAGATGACTGCGCAATATGGACATCAGGCAGGAACATTGTACATATTACTGAAAAAATACAGAACTATTTGAATCTTTTAATTTGTTGGTTTGAAGAGTGGGGGTTTCGACTCTCACCTGTCAAAACAGTGCCCGTATTTTTTACGAAAAGCTGGAATGCCGTTCTACCGCCTGATATAGAACTGAATGGAAATGTGCGAATTTACGAAATATCTCATCGCTTTTTAGGGGTTATATTTAATAAAAGGTTAACTTGGCAACCACATATCTGGGGAAGTTCCTCGAAATCACTTATTATGGTGTACAGAGCACTTATAAGGTCTCTTTTTGATTACGGATGTGAGGCGTATGACAGTGCAGCTGCTACCACCAAAAAAGCCATTGACTCTGTCCAATACCAAGTACTGAGGATATGCGCAGGTGGGCTGCCCTTAACCTCCTTAGAATCACTACAGCTGGAAATGGGGGAAATGCCTTTGAATATAAGAAGACAAATGCTTTCAAGTAAATATAGACAAAACATCGAAAGATGGGCGAATCATCCGTTGTTGAAAAACATTGAACCATGTTGGCATTTTGAATACTTGAAGGGGAAAAATGTAAACAAACCTTTTGGATATAGAATACAAAGCAAGCTGGGGAAACGTATAGAAACGATAACCTACTCCCCATTTCCACCATGGTTATTCTACCCTCCGGCAGAGTCAACGGAATTAAGTACTCGAATAAAGAAAACAGATCATCCTACACAACAAAAGCAAAGCAGCCTGGGGCCTGGAAATCATACATACTAAATGGGCGACTCAATTACATATATACACCGATGGATCAAAAGTACCTGAAAGAGGGACCTCTGCAGCTGCTTTTTACGTTCCTTACTATTCTGTACATCGGAGCAAAAGGTTAGCAAATTTCACCTCTTCGTACAGGGCTGAATTGGCTGCCACCATTCTTGCTCTCAGATGGGTAGATGAATTAGATATTTATGTGGGGGTTGTTATTTTTAGTGATTCACTGAGTGCACTTATTGCATTACAACAACAGAAGGACGAATCTTTTATTCTGGAAATTCTCACCATGACTACTCACTTAAAGAATAAAGGAGTTGATATATATGTAGAGTGGATACCTGGACATTGTGGAATAAAAGGGAACGAGATGGCGGATTTCCACGCAAAGGCCGCATTAGTAAAGAAAATAGAAATCAATAATAATCTAAATATGTCAGAAATGAAAAGCTTAATTACTACAAGTTCCAAACTCCTTTGGCAAGAAAGGTGGAACAAAACCAACTCGTATTTGAAAACATATCAAAAATATGTTAATAAACCATATATATGTTCATTAGAGAGACAACATTCAACAATTATTCATCGACTCCGCTTTGGAGTCCTTGGACTTAACCAGGATCTCCTCAGATTGAGAATTCATGCTACTGGTTTCTGTAATAGATGCCCCAGTGAAATAGAGACTGTAAAACACATTTTAGTACATTGCCCTAACTATATTATAGAAAGGGCTATGTTTTTAACAGAAATTAACGAATCCCAACCGGAAAAAATTATGGAATACTTAAAAAAGAGTGAGTCCAGTGTACAAAAAGCTATCGCACGGTTCTTTCTCAGAACGAAACGGTTCCCTATCAGGAAGTAATACCTCCCTTGATGAACAGTAAAATATAATACAATATTATAAATATGCTAAATTACACTCAGTACATTAAAAATATAATAACATAATGTAATAAGAAAATAAAATAACAGTAAAACATTATACAATATTATAATATGCTAAATTACACTCAGTACACTAAAAATATAATAACACAATGTAATAAGAAAAGAAAATAAGAACAGTAAAACATAATACAATATTATAAATATGCTAAATTACACTCAGTACATTAAAAATATAATAACATAATGTAATAAGAAAATAAAATAAGAATAGTAAAACATTATAAAATATTATAATATGCTAAATTACGTCACTCAGTACATTAAAAATATAATAACATATTGTAATAAGAAAATAAAATAAGAAAAAGTAACAACAATGATAAAAGGTATAATAAAATTATTGAGTATAGAGGCTTGTGTAGGTTCTATCTTATATACATATTTATGTATGGTGTGTATGTGATATAACAAATAATCTGCACGTACTGTTAAGAAACACTAACAAAGCCCATGAATGTTTTGCTTACGATATTATTTTTCGGTATTATCTTAAAAGATAGATAAATATAAAATGAAATAAATATATTTATAAAAAATACAAAATTGAGAGATATAACACGTGCCGTAAAGTATTTTGGCGACAATAGTCAAATTACTGACTAATCGCCAATAACTCAAAACACAACAACAACAACATTTTGTATGCGATTCCCGAATAATCGTAACATTCGGGCAACTTTCCAGCGAAGATTTACAGACATTGTCTCAAATTTGTTGTGATGTTTTGACCAGTCTTTACTCAAGAAAAGGATAAGGTAAGAATTCTTTGTAGAATTTATTGTGAATTCGGTATATAAAAGATATATCGACTGCTTTAATATTCGAAACATAGCCGTTTCTATACTGGCTCTCGGGGAACCGGCGCGCCGAGGGGTCATATCACGATGTAACGTCCCCTTGAGCCTATAGGAACAGCGATGCCTCTCATAGCAGTCGATATATCTATATTAGGTAGTGTGTTGCATTGAATGAATGAATGATTATTTAATGTGGCGGGTTGCTCATCTGCTATTGACCCATTATAGTCCATTAGTCAATTTGTTAAACAAATGATCCTCAAAAATATCCTGTTCTGTATGTTAGTTTCATGTCGAAATACTGTATTTAAAATATGTGTTTTAGATATCACCTCTGTAAATACATGTTGCAAGTTTAAATACACTATTAACAAGAAAATAACTCGTGAGTAGACTACTCGCCGCACCAGTCAACGGGGCTCGTGGCGTGCGCCTGTAATCAAGCTAACGATGGAAGTTACAAACTGATTCAGCCGAGGACACAGGTTCGAAACTCAGTCACGTCTTTCGGATGGTGACGTTTAAAGGTCGGTCCCCAGACGTAAATAATCATTTCTGATTGATAAACGTCTGTAGAAACCCAATAACACACGCGCCCTCGAATAAAATAGGCCACGCAGTAAACCGAAGTCCGACTTATATTAGCTTCCATGCGTGTCGTTTTACGTTATTGTTTATCAGGAGTTTTATCGTTCAGGCATCTGTTGTAAAGAGAACAAAAACAATCACTCACAAAATGCTTTTATTTCGGTAACATTCAGTACTTTATATTTACAGGTAATATCAATGCAGTACATATTGAATCGTTGTACAATATCTAAAAATGTAAAATATAAGCACATGTAAGAAATCTTTATCTACTATACATGTCTTTCATACTGCCGCAGTGAAAGTATCCTATTGGTGTATTAGCTAACAATAAATTCATCAAATAATTTGTTGTTGTTGATGATGAAAAATACGTTTAACAGGTTCAAGGTGAATATTCCACACAGCTTTTCGAAAGAAAACAGAATATACATGATCAAATATATTTTAGAATCCATACTTAGTTTCATGAAACATATTTGATTGTATATTTTACAATCAAATCAAACGTATCTTAAATATTTGTCCACTTTAGCCTATTTCCATGAAGAAACAAGCAATGTCCATATATAGGATTCAATAGGAGCAGAAAAGTGTCCTTTTAAAGGCAGGGAATTTTACCGACATCGCATCCACTGATGTAATGTATTTCAATTGCGTCATCTTTCGGTTAAGGCGTACATAATGATTTCTGGTTTTTTGTACCCAAGAAACATCACGCCCGTGTCATCAGTAAATAATATATTAATATTGATGGATAATAAATAATGACGCTTTCTTGCATTTAACTACCCAAAATAAGCTACCGGAATACAACGAATATTAAATATATGTAATAAACACAAATTTCACTATGTTCAATTGAAATTAGTATAAACGACTATCCCTAAGTGAGCATTGTTTGGTATCCACAGTGGAAAAGTGGGCGAGGAGTAGGACGGTTAACATAATTATGTCTGAAATAAGAATATTAATATTAATAATAATAATAACAAAAAAAATAATAGCAATGATAATAATAATACTAGCAATGATAATAATAATAATAATACCATTAGTACTACAGTAACATTTGCATAGCGCTTAATACTAATGTTTCTTAACAAAATAACTAACTAACTAACTAACTATCCATCATTACCCAGGTAACAGCCAAGCGGCCATGATTAGCCGCTCTGGTATTCGAGGAATTTCTTCCTACCGACTACCCATTTACATCACCTGATTAATGCATTTCCAAAATGGAACAAAAAAAACTGTTTAAGCTTATACCATTCATCGATGGATCTTGGTAAGATTATTATTATTATTTAATTACAGAAACCATTGAAGAAGAAGAAATTAAACATATTTCTCATTGTGGCTTTGTTAAAATTCATAACAACATAGCACTTAAAGATAAAGTTGAGGTCTGGCTATGCCATTATATAATGCCGTACACCTGCACATCCCATATCAGTTGTATCGGGAGGAGAGACCCGAGGGTTACAGTGATTTGATTCGCTCCTCATCTCCCAGGCATGTGTGACGCCAAATACTAAACAATGATACAAAGCTGGAAATGGAAAGGTGTCAGAGGGTATCTGAATCCGCTACAGATGTATCCGAATGCTGTAATAATGGCCAGCTGGTGCCCCCACTTGATTCTCCTCTCTCGTCGACATCCCCGTCTTCTGTACTGTGTTGTAAGTGTTCTTGTGAGTAGACGACACCAGTCCCCGTATCGAAACCTGTATCATGTTGGCTTCCGGGTGAATCAGGATGAATCTCACACTTATGCATCTGAAAACGGAATGCAATAAAATGTGCAAGAACTTAAAATTCGTCTCATGAGACAAAGTCTTCCTGAAAGCGATACTGAACCAATGAACTTTCTATCCCAGCTTACTGCAATGCACATGGCCATCTCATGGTCAACTTGTCCATAGTGCATAACCAAATACCTGATTTCCGCTCGGTATAATAATCATCTAATTCAGATAAATATTATAACAAATATGGAGTTCAAGAATAAATAAACAAAATGGAAATTGCAACAGCATAATATTAGACATATCATATTGAACACTTGATACTGATGATGATGAAAAGACTCTTTATAATTAGTCTAATTGTAATGGTGGCCAGGGCCCCGTCTTACAAAGAGTTATTAATCGCAACTTATTTGCGATTGATATCAGTCGCAACTATGTACATACAAATAGGAGATTGTAATATCCCTATACGGCTATACCTGCGCGAACCGGGATTTGTATTGCCCAAGGATAGCCAGGTACACATACACCCAAGTCGAAAGCGAAACAATGATGTGGGTAAATATTTATCCAAGGAAAGAAGCAACAAATAAGAATCGAACATGGGACACCCCTCATATGGAACTCAGAAACTTCACCAAATACCACACTGCTGCCCGCAAGAATAAGCTTTAATTTTAATTTTTTTTATTTTTTATTTTTTTAAATTCATATCAGCTCATAATTCATTACATAATAGCAGAAATATAATTCATGGGAACTTTACAATAAGGCCATTACAGGCATGACAGGATTTTCACTAGTTATCGTATCTCATTATTACGTTTTTAAATGAACTAAATATTCTTTGTTCATTTAACGAGTGAAAAGATTTACACTGCACTTTACGTAAGTGCCCTGTATTTATGTTTAGTTCACTTTTTTTTTCTAATGGAAACGAAATCAATAAACGAATTGGACAGAACTGAATACGAGCTGAAATTCATACGCACCACCTGACTTTGAGACTTTTCCCGAATTTGCTCTTCCTCTCTGTCTGTAAATCCAGAATCATGTTGATCATAAACCCAATTCCTTACTTTAATGTCGTTGATATTCGTAGCAGATGAATATTCACTGGGTTCTGGTGCATTTACAAGGATGTTAAGATCAATGCCGGGTTCAATGGTCTTTCCTTGATCAACGCGAGAATAAAATGCTTCGGAAGTGTAATCACCAGGTAGTTTATTCTCTGGGTCCGTTGCTGAAAAGAAAACATCAAACCTTTTCTTTAAAAAAAATCCATATTTAATAATGACATTCATGGCTTATACACTAATCCAATTCTAAATCAAGATACATATAAGATGCTAAAGTGCGTGAGAGAGATTTTCTCCTAAGTGGTATTAAAACTTTGGATTTTTGGTTCAAACTTGTATACACCCAGATAATTGCAGCTTGATTCATTCGTGATTTGCCTGAGACTCTGCAATTTCACCTTGACAAAATAGTTTTAATTTTCAACACATCAAAGGGAATATATTTTTTCTTTGCCTCATCAGAGGATTTATTGATTATATATGCATGGTTACATTCAAAGAAACAATACTACAAATCAAATTTACATAATCACAAAAACATTATTATTGTCATAACAAAGAATTGAGATTAAGTTTTGCTTTGCAAAGCAATTGAATCTAAGGAAATATAGTATACGAATTTCAAGAGGGCTTTCTTTCTATATCAAAGTTTTTAAACCTGCATGCATTCCAAAGAGACAAAAATCAAATAATTAAAAGAAAAAGATAATGATCGCAAACAGACCACACAAACCAACCTGTTTGTTGCAATAAATATATAAATAAATAATAACAACGTACCTGTCAAATTTCTAAGCTTTTCCAAGCAAGTCCCAAGCCTGGATTCTCCGGGCTCCTTTGGCCAGTAGTTATTGATCGTAAAGAGAGCAAGGATAGCCAGAGCTATTCCGAGAACAGATCCCACAATAATAGCAATCGGTACAGATCCAGTTGGAAAATGTTCTTCTAGAGAAGGAATATAAAAAAGAGCATGTCTTTTACGGGAAAAAAAATGCAAGTCATACATCTATAAAATTGATAAAAGAACATTTTTAGGAACAAATATTCTCCAGAGTACGTCAATTGAGTTACTCAATATTTAACAAACATTATGTTACTTTTTTCGTCTTCTTCTTTATCTTCTCCTTCTTCTCCACCATCTTCTTCCTCTTCTTCTCCTCCTTGTCATTCTCCTCCTCCTCGTCGTCGTCTTTCTTCTCCTTCTTGTCCTTCTTGATCTTCTGCTTCTTCTTATTATTATTATTCTCTTTCTACATGATGGTACCTCTATAATTTATGTTTCATCAGGAACCGAACGAAAAGGGTTGAGGAGAGCGCAATTTGTTTAATTAGTCCTTATTTCTTTTTATCTCGGTGTAAAAATAAGTTCACGATTGAAGTTTTAATGGGTAATTTACAAATTTACACATGTTTGCCAGTGCAAGTATGCATGAGCTATGGACTATGGCAAAGTAAAATACCTGAACCTTGTGAAAGGTGACTTACCCGTAACAGTATAGAGGCCTCTGCACGTTTTGTTCAGAACGTCATCATGGATGATCACGACTATCTCATGAGCTCCTATGGATACGCTAGTTCCAACCGGGGAACCCCCAAGTGTTATTTCCATAACTACAGTATCTCCGTGATATATGTATCCGGCTACAGATTTGGTGATGTTGTGTTCTCCGAAACTAGGATGAAAAGTGTATGTATCCTTGCCTGGATCTGTGGTTACAGTGTGATCTAGGCTGGGACAGTTGACCGGGAGCTCCGTTACTATTGAGAATTAGAAGAGCAGAAGGATACAAAACAAATTGAATGATTTGATTTGATGATAATCATCAAATCAAATATGCTACTATACTACTAGTAGTAGTACTTTTTCTACATCAAATGGAAATAACAATCATTTTTATTTCCATTTGATGTAGAAAAAGTACTAGTACTAGTAGTAGTAGCAGCAGGTGTAGTAGTAGTTGTAGTCTGTATGTATTGGATGACTTGTTGAGCCAAGGGTAGTCTGCCACAAGGCACATTTATTTGTCTATTTTTATTTATTCGTTTTATTTTAACAGGGTAACTCACTCAGTATTAAAACCGTTTTCCTTAGAGGCCCTATACAAATTTTAGGTTACAAATACAGAAGAAATTGAACGAAGTTTAGATACATACATATCATATCATGGATTATTTATTTATATTTAATAAAACAAATTACACCATAATATAAACACGAAAATAGATATTTGACCAGCTAATACAATTTAATACAGGTCTACGTCCTTTCAAAGCAATTAATAGAACATTAAAGGGGGAAACTGAAATACGTGTTTTGATTGCTATTACTGAAAAGAACATTCTCTGTGATTTTTCATTTTGTTTTTAGAGAAAAAGAATACTAGCTGTTAAAAAATATTGCAAATGTAGTGGTCTCCACTATAGATTTGCAAATATCTGTTTTGACTAAGCCTGTCTAACATTTAAGGGCAGCTGGTTCCATAGTGCGGCACCTCCATGAGAAATGAAAGTTTACCCATTGGAGTCGTGTGCATGGTAGTACAAGTCCCACATTGGACGCACTACGGGTTTTACGATTATGGAGTTACTAGGATCTTGTGATCAAATTAGATACCCCAGAAGGAAAAACCAGTTACCACCAGTTGAAATTTCCAACTGGTTCCAGTTAACTTCAACTGGAACCAGTTAGATTCAACTGGTTCCAGTTGATTCTAACTGGTCCATGATGCACATCAAGCGGATATTTGGTGCGACTGCATTTCATTTAAGTACTGGAACCAGTCCTTATAATGACCAGTTACACCAGTTGATAACTGGTCTGTTTGCATACTTCCAGTTGCACCAGTTGATAACTGGTCTGTGCATGGCATATTTCCAGTTGCGCCAGTTGATAACTGGTCTGTGGGCATATTTCCAGTTGCACCAGTTGATAACTGGTCTGAATTTGACCAGTTGAATTCTAACTGGACCAGTTAGAATTTGACCAGTTGAATCCTGGAAATTGAAATGGGCCAGTTGAATTCTAAGTGGACCAGTTAGAATCTGACCAGTTGAGTTCCAACTGGACCAGTTAGAATCTGACCAGTTGAATTCTATCTAACTGGTCCAGTTGGATTTCAACTGGTCGAATTCTAACTGGTCCAGTTAAAATTCAACTGGTCTGGTTCAACTGGCTCATTTCAATTTCCAGGGTTACCAGTTGGCTTTAACTGGTTTAACTGGACCAGTTGCAACTGGTTTTTCCTTCTGGGACGTAAGATGGGCCAAAATTATTCAGTACATGCATGGTTCACCATTTTGCATGTATGGAATGTCCACCTTCGTTCTGCTAGTACCCAATGTAGTCAGTCAAAGACCTGAACTCTGGGTGGTAGTTGATTTGCCCTAATAGTATCACTGATTTTTTTTAAATTAGAAGGATAGTTTAACATAAAGAGAGAACTACTTCTGACAATTTTAAAAAACTTACAAACATTCTCTACGTAGAACACACATGTAGCTTTGTTGCCGAATGTGTCCTTCGCAACGAGGGTCACAGGTGTGTACCCCTGTGGGAATAGATCTCCCGTAATGCCTTGGGTGACATTGTAAGTTATCCCCTTGGGGTCTGGGTTGGCATCGGCATAGGTGTAGCTTTCACCGTCTATCAGTCCATTGAAGGTGTTTGGTGATTCGGTTGGGAGAGTTATGTTTGCACATGTCACAACTGGGGGATCGGTGTCTGGGAAGAAATAGACATTTCGAAATTGTGACTAATGGTAGATTTCTTCGATTACATGAGTTAGAATTCCTTTATGAGGTAATTGGAGATTATTCTTGTAATGTATGTTATTTTCAAAACATAAAATAACTTCTACATGGAGAAGTTGTTCCAGTCTGGATGAAGATCATTTTTATGATGATCACCACAAAGGAAAAGAAAAATAAATCACTAAATTAACTATAGGAACCTTCGTTTTTCGGGGGGGGGGGGGAATTATAATCAGTATTAAGATCGGAATTAATCCGTTATTTTATTTTTCTGATAAACTTTAACAAAAAACTGTAAAAGTTAATTAGTGAAAAAACGAAAGGTGACCTATTCGAAGCGATTCTGTTTAGTTTGTTTCGATTACATTTAGTTTTCCATTGTTTTCCAAATATGCGCGGTAGGGGTTAAAATTCAACATTTAGAATATAACATAAATAAATATGCTGACACTGTTTTCGCTTACGAATTTTCAAGGCGATTTCCAACTTGAACATATAAATTGAATTTTATGTAATCATATGGAGCAATTTATATTAAACTTGCTGTTACTGCTCTTTACAAAAATTGTTGTTGTTATGAAAAGTTACATTACGTTAAGTTTTGATAGAAATTGACAGGAAATTAACTTACCACTCAGAATATGAATGAAGAATGAACACGTTGCATTATCGTCCTGGTAGTATTGCGAGAAATCATATCGGACTTCAGTGATTGTTCCTTCCTGGAAAACATCCCCAGGATGATGTGACTGCTTGCTTTTGATGGGGGCAAGACTCGGGCACGGAGAACTGGCCGATGGGATGGGCCATGTAACACTAACATTCCCTCCAAACTCTGTGTACAGCGTTATATTGTCCGGGCATGCGGTGACCAGAGGCTTGGCACCTGCGTAATTAATACACGTTATAATTATGTGAATATGTTCTGGAACATTATATCATCATCATTATCAACTTGGATCATCACACAATAATTACTATGTCCAAATAATGTAGCAAAAGTAGAGCCACTGAAGCCAATAAGGGAGAGTGAGGTATGTAAAAGAGGTTTGCCACAGAAAGAGAGAGAGAGAGAGCTAAACATCTCTTATTGATCCATGGGAAGATATTAATCAAACGACTAAAATCCAATTAAATCAAATTACTGACATAGAATCCATATCCATAATTTGTTATCATCAGCAATATATACAAGCAATTGCAAACGAAGAAAGCAAATGTTTTGTATGTCTTCTTCTTTTTTTAGGGCAGCGGCGGGTATACGATGGATGGTCAGTTTGTTACATGAGTTTTAATGAGAGAAGGGCAATGCGCTCAATTTATTCACAGCCTCCCACCCCCCCCCCCCCTCCTTTCCCCTCTCTCCTTCTCTCTCCCTCTCTCTCTCTCTCTCTCTCTCTCTCTAACTGGAAATTTAGTTAAACAGACGTAGTGAATTTGAGGGAGATACAAGACTTAAAAGCCCAAATATAATACTGCGTGGCTCAAATGCAAGGGGAAAACTGTTATGCAGAGGGCATCCATCCTTCCCATCTTCAAAGAAGGCAATAACTTTGAAATTGGTTCGTCATTTATATTTTAGGGTGTGTTTTTTTACACTCCAAAACACCTCCATAAACAAATACATATGGGCTGATAAAGGATGCCCCCACCTCAGTTTGTAAATACCTAGTCTCTCCTCTGATTTTAATGTTTAAAATAATATCTTACTGAAAATAGTGAGATTCTCCTTTACGTATGGTAGGCAGGACTCGCAAGTTCCCCTCGCACGAATCTACGAGGAAAAATGAATGGAATGAAAGAGAAATATGAAAATGATTATAATCAGTGTAGGAGCTGCATTACACTACATACAAAATCGATGTGCACCTGCATGTACTATTACAAAATGTTTAGAGATTGGAATTGAAAAATAGTATCGGAAATATATAAAATAATGACGTAAGGAAGAAAAGAATTGGAATGTTGGCAAGTGTCAACATGTATGTTTTTAAAGGAAAATATTACTGCAATACCATGTTTGGTGAAACTAACTCTTTACATAGTTGTGACAGAATATTTTATGATAACTAAAATTACAACTAAAGGAATAATTTAGATTTTGTAAATAAATGTTCACATAAAACAAGGACGATCTGGATGTGACTAGTGCATTTTCCTGGTGAGGAGGTGGGGCGTAGCTGACAACATGGGAAATACACACAAATACGTCTCACTTGGGCTCAACGAAAGAGCTTGAAAGATTTGCAAATAAGCTGAAGAAGTAAATGAAGTTTAATAGAAAATTAGGAAGTAATTTTACCTCAAGGGTGTAGTTATGTGGTTCCAGGCATCCGAATACAACTTGTGTCGTGTTATATTTATTCTGTAAATTGGGTATAAGATCACCAGAAGATATAATTTCCTAACTACACTCTTACAAGTTATTAATATATCGGACGTATAACAAATGTTCATCGTATGAAGTATAACAATTAAATGGGAGGGGGTAAATTGAAATTTGAGTGTGGAAGCCGTTCGATTATTATAAGTTTTGCACAAATTTATTGCATTAACGAGTTTGGCAATTACCGATTAAATCTCAAACATTCAGATGGCATTAAGTTACTGATTTTAAAATGCCTTACTTTTTAAGATAAATATTAACAGGCATTTTTCAAAACATCTTTTGTCAAACAAAGAATCTGAATTCCACATCTGTCATCCTACTTCCCATTCATCGCCTCGACTTAAAAAAAAAAAAAAAAAAAACGATGATTAAACGAAATAATATTTGGTTCAATAACAAAGGTAAATACTAAATCCAATACCTGTATAATTTGTTCGCCGTGGATCGAAGAGGAACTGCCTGATGAATAGACAGCAATGTAGTATTCATCAATGCTATCCTTGTAATCATCTTGACTATTCAAGATTAAAGTAAAATTGAGAGCGAAGGGAGTAAGGTGCCACATTATGAATGGTTTCCAACCTGAAACAAATATAAACATGCAGAAGTTCATTAGCAGATAACGCACACAGCCATAATAATAAGAAGAAGTATGACGTCACAACCCGGTACGCTATCCATAATGCATTATGTTTTTGATAGCTATGACTAATATTGTTTTCAGTAGTACTGCAAACGGTAATTTTACTAAGCTACCAAAGTTCATAGTATGTGTTCTAAACAAAAGCTACCACATTGAAGTTTAGACCTTTTGTTTTACACATAAAAACAACCCTCCAAATATTATTAAATATTCTAAAACGAAACGAAACTATACCGCTGCAATCATAAATACGAAAGTCCCCTTTGTGTTGCGTATACACAAGCACGTACTTGTGTAAATACATCTTATGTTTGTCTAACAAGGTTTGTCTTATGGGTCGTAAATTCAAGGGGTAGCCCATGATTCTGAATACATGCCTAATTTCGAACTCACACATTATCATTAACCAGCCTGAGGGGGGTTATTTTATTTTGAAAATCAAACAGGGTTTGTTTTTGGAACAGTAGTCCGATGGTTGTCATTCCGAAGGGGGTTCTTAATTCCGTAATCAAATACGATTCGAAATGCCTAATTAAAGGAAAGATGATTCGTAAATACGTTCAATTTTGTTTTCTGGAAGGGCTTAATTTGAATAAATGTAACAATGAAAATTCCGAATGACGAATCTTCACAACGTCTCTAAAGAAAATGAGATGTACCTTAGCGTATGTATCTACTTTCTGAAAGACATGTTTACCAACGTATTACACACTGCAATCTAGGATGACGCATTCTTTCGCGTAAAAAGCAGACATAGAAATATTGAAAAGTTCTTCAACATTTTTTTCTTATTAAAATGTGTTTTGTTTGTAATGAGGGTATATAACTTGGAACAAAAAAATGGTAAGTATTCATATGCCATTCGCATTGCGAGTGCATTTAATATTAAAGCCCCACTGCACGACTTATAGCTACTTGCGCCTTCTGTACAACCAACGATGCCTAAGCGATACCCGTTGGTCCCCCATGGTGCCCTTTTCTTATGTTAATTGAGAGCTGATTCGATGAGATAATCACCTGCCAGTGACCTTGCAGGGAGGTCTAATCCCTCCATAAAAAACTAGTACATAGGGGCTTTAATAGATCAGTACTTTGAGGAATTGTACCTCTTAGCTACTATATTGATTTAAATCAAATCATCAAATCAACCATTCTCCATCGAGTTATAAATGTAATAATATCTTAACACCTTGCAATTAAGGGAAGTTGGATTAACATATTAATTTAACCCTTATCAATTAATCAAATCAGATACTAGCACGACACTATCGGTCGAATTATAAGTGTTGTGAAATAACATTAACGTATTTATGTCCGTCTTATTTTGATGGTTAGTGTGATGATTATGATAATTTGGCTATTTTCAATATCATCTTTAGTTTGCAATCATGCAGCCATAGATATAATGTATTTATATCATTTGGAAATGGATCAACAGTGGAGCAGACTGATGGATCGTGTTGGATGTGATCGACACAAAAGAGGAGTCGATGATAAGTAAAGCGATAATAAAGGAGCGTTTTCTTAAAAATATCCATCTACCAGTGCACAGCCATAGATATAATGTATTTATATCATTTGGAAATGGATCAACAGTGGAGCAGACTGATGGATCGTGTTGGATGTGATCGACACAAAAGAGGAGACGATGATAAGTAAAGCGAATAAAGGAGCGTTTTCTTAAAAATATCCATCTCCCAGTGTACAGCTATAGGATAGAACGTTTTGTGTGCGTATGTGGGTGAGTGTATGTAGTTGCGTATTTCACATTCCTCAGTGTATTGTATCAAAACCAATCAGGCAAACAAGGCATACAAAAGTAAATAGTTTACTCGATATAGTATGCAGGTGAATATTCTTATATTTCGTCTTGTATGAAAACAATTTGGGGATGAAATAAACGCTATCATAGTGTCAAGGTGCAATCCTGATAATATCGGTTGCAAAGCACCATGGGGTTCCCCTTTTGTTATCATTGTTTGAAGAAGGACAACACATATTTGCTTTGCTTTGGCCCAATGTCATATTTCTTTTAGCTGATGTGTATATACCTTTATTCATTTGTTTGCATATCCTTGTATCCATAATGATATTCCCTTTCAAAAACTAGTAGTCTGACCAACGTGCCATTCAAGATTCGTGGGAAATTGGACTATTTCAATTAGTTTTCATTTATTTCATTTCATTATTTGAGAAAAGTTCGTTATTTGTACTTATATATACAATTCTGTATAGTTACGGGGAACATATCGCTATAATACTATTATTTATTTATTTTCGACATCATATGCTTTAATTCATAATACGCTGATCGAAATGAAATGTTTATCCCCAGTTTCATGCTGTCAAATTCTTTTAGAACACTCAATGGTAGGACACAACGGTATCACATTTTAATACCATTCTACACAACGTTAACAAAAAAGGTTTGTCGTTAATCCAGCAAAATCATCATAAAGGTGTACTTCATAGTCATATGACAATAACGCAAATACTAAATGATATATAGTACCTGTAGTGTATAACTACCGTTTTTCTCCAAATATTGTTTACATTATTCATTCTATTATTCATAAAAGTTCTTTAATTATATTTATGTTCCTACTTATAAATTGTATTGTTTGGAAGAAAATAAATGTTCATTTGAATTGAATTGAATTAATTCCTAAATCATAGACTTATGACAATAAGGGAAATACTAAATGAAATTTATTGTGTAGTAACTTTAGAAGTACCGCACTTTTCCAAATAGTGTTAACGATAATCATTGTAATATTTCCATGACAGTTTTTAATTACATGAAACATGCATTATACCTATCATTAAATCCTGGATTCGTCATACTTCAGTTAAGCTTTTCTCAGTGACCCATTCTCTGTAAAGGCCACCTGTCTATAATGGCCATGTATTTTTGTCTTCCTCGAGAAAGAAATGTGTGTTGTAGAACCTGTTTAAAAAGATCACCTGTCTACAGCGGCCACTTTTTCTGTTTCTTTTGGGTGATTGTACTATCTTTCCTGCTTATAATTGTTATCATTATTTCACCTATTATGATGTTTTTTCAAATCATTACACGTATTGAACAATCTGAGGAAAACGACAAGTTTACTTACAAGGACGAGTTTTGATCTTAAATTTACTCCAGGTGCTCTCATCTACCCTGGCTGTTGGTAAACCTCGTATACCAACTTCATACTCATAGCCAGGAACAAGACCGATAAAGCCATCGTAATAGAAGATATGCTGGAAGAAGAAGAAGAAGAAGAAGAAAAATCCAGGGGGGGGGTGTTTCATAATTTTATGGAGAGCCATTTGTATCATTAAAATGAACAATATTTAAAAGCAAAAATTTAAGTATTTTTTAATTTTCATAAATTCCTGATCAAGAACAAGAATTATCATTTTATGCCTTTTAAAATAACTTCTACAAAATATTTTCAAAGATGCTAACGGCTTTCCATAACTTTTAAGTCCAAATTAGAAATAAGTTCACCTTAGGATCTTTGTGAAACACCCCCCAGCAGGTAAAAATATGAAAAGGGATGTTACTGGTGGGTTTGACAAAGGAAAGCTGCAGTTACTATTGCCCCATTGTAAGGTATGCATTTACACTTGGGTGAAGCGGGACAAAACAAATACGAGCAAACACTTTGTCCAAACATGTAACTGCATGCCGATAAAGCATCGAACCCGGAATCTCTCCTACGAGAGTCATCAATAGCCTTTCCCATCAGGGGGATGTTTCACAAAACTTGTCATTAGTGAAAAATGACAGTTTTTGTTATAAGCTACTGAAATCCTTGCTTCTAATTGGTTATCAACAGATTTGTCACTGATTTTTGTCATTTGTCATCGAAAAAAGGCTTTGTGAAACGGGTCCAAGGTTTTGTGACTAAACACTACGAAGATTTCTACAACCTTGTTATACACCATACAGTTTATATTCATTACTTTATTACAAAAGTTAATCATTCAATTAAACGATAAGAATGTTTACATTACCACATAAATCATGCTAATTTCCTCTTGACCTATAAGTTCTATATACTGTTAACTGCTATCTGGTCATGTCACGGAGGAGAATTCGAGTATTAACGTTGCAACTTCCTCGTATAGTTCAGCAGTTTTCGAAATTATATCCTTTACCGAGTACCGCCATTTTACCGTAATATTTGTGAATACTGGTATTTTGAAATAACATAGTAATAATAGAATACATTAATATGGTGACAGTTGTAGTGAGTATATTTGTATGAAAGCAGGAAAATGAATAAGAAACAGATTGGCAAAAGAAATTAACAAAATCGGCTACATCAAAGGAAAAGAAAGTTATGAATGTTTGAATATATAATCACTCCATCTGTGCGAATCTCAAATTGGCAATTCGGTCAGTGGATTGTGACGTAGTCACGGACAACTCCCCCTTTTGTCAAGTACAAATTTCTGTTTTTCTCATAAGCACCTTCTCCTTCAGGGCACTACCCGAAATACATTTTGGATAGCATAATGATTAAAGGTCCTCTAAAACAGGAAAGACCCCCCCCCCCCCCCCGAGAGATACATTTTGGAAAATGACAGTTTAGTATAAATCGTGTGTGCTGGAATGAAATTAGAAAGTAACTGTTGTCCGCCACTATACCGATTCGGTCAACTCAGTTATATATATATATAGTGACTACAAATTGTTTAAATGCATAACCTTCCTATTTATTATTCGGTCTGATTTCGTTCATAATGTAATCAATCTGCTTCTCAAATTTGTTCTGCTTTCTTTCAGAGCAATTTGATGTGAAATTTGGATTTTTCTTTTAAAATCAAAGACATTCTCACGTAATTATTGTCAGCATAACAATCACACGAAAACGCGAAGTTAATCATAAAACAATTGACAAATCGAAAGGAAGTGTCGCAAGAATATTCTTGAACATTGTTACGTATTCATTTCAACCCCCTTGCAATGCTTCTGACGATTTTTCCATGTATCTTTTATAAATTTGCTTCTTCAGATCACGATCCTTCCCTTTCCAGAAAGTTTATAACTGAAATGAATAATGCACTATACTGTAGTAATAATCCCCAATATATCACCTTAAAGCCGAGCACCGTATTTGCAGAGCCATTGACATAGGTCATAAAGTATGCAATATAATTCTAGTATTTGCCAACAAACTAGACATGTGTGTACTAGTCTTCGTTTGTATAATGTGGAGAAGTAGATACAAAATAATGACTACTTGCACAAAAATTAATTTTTCTACGCTCCATGTTATATTGGATATTCATTTCATGCTGGGAAAGTGGGATTATGTGAAAGGTAGATTGGTGATGATGATTATAATAAAAGAGGATATGAAATTTCTGTTCAAAATTATCAATCCTGGCTGACGATCATTTAGTTAATCTTTCCCCCAAAAGAGAAGTAATTCAACTTGTAATGATGGATTCGTTAAAGCCGAGGGGCAAAAAATTAAGTTTAACTGAGATTGCTCATCAAATTAAGGTTTAGAGTATAATGTAAACGTAGACCTCATATCAAAGTACTATTTATCATACTAAGACAGTGTGATGAAATCATTTAATAACTAAGTACACATTCAATAGCTATAAAGTGAATCAATACAGTGGATACACAGTATGTTGTCATTGTCTTTGTAACTATGTGTGAACATCAAAAAAAGTATACCTCTTAAAGGGTAAAGATGTTTGCACATACGGCACCGTATACCCTCGTCACGTCGCTAAAGCGACACCAAACAGACCGATTCCTAGGGGGGGGGGGTGGGTTCACAAAGATTACGATCGACTTTAAGTTGGACTTAACTATGGCAAACCGCTCATGCCACTGGTTGCTCTCACCATTGGTCTCTCAATTATTATGATCTATGATCTTTAGATAAAAAAAACTATCAAAAAGTTAAATTCTGTAGATTTGTGACCACGATTTTGACGTCCCTTGAGAGAAAAATGCCAGTAAAATGGTGAGAGCAAACAGTGGCATGAACTGCCTGCCATAGTTAAGTCCAACTTAAAGTCGATCTCAGTCTTTGTGAAACACTCCCCTGGCCATATAATGTACGTTTTTAGGTCTGTTGTCGGTCTGCCGTCGGTCTGCCGTCGGTTTCGTTCGTGTGACGCGGGTGTCAATGTATATGGTAAATACCAACCGTTATGGAATGACATTAGCCTACTAGAGAATTTTTCATTTTGAATGAAGAATATTACATACATTTAACAAAATTCTTCGAAAAATGCATTGATATATTAACTAAAATGATGTACTTTTGCAACATTGCGGTTGTCTATCAACCATTTATGACATTTATGAAATGTTGAATTTTATATAAATTGTAACGGAATGACATAAAAGGTCATTTGTTTAGTCATTCTGTAAAAGAAGCTATTTGAAATTCGATACCTTATCAATCTGATGAATGGTTGATAGGAAAATCAACTGTTCTGAAAGTACCTCGCATTAGTTTAAATAATATATCAAGTTTCCAATGTCTGTAATATACATTTTTTTCTAAATTGAAAACTCTCGGGAAATCTCACTTCGTGGCTCTTGAATTGAGCATTTTTTTAATTGACCCATGAATCTGTGTAGAACTGGGCTGGTATGCGTCCATCTGTATCTCTAGAGTATAGTTCCTCAAGCTAAATTGTAATCCTTCATCTTAATCCTCGGTTAACGTACAGAAATCGCAAGTTGCATTAATTATGCATCGCTATTTTCCTTCATTATTTGACATATTTTTTTGTTGATAATTTATGTCATACGTAAGAGGATATGGAACAAACGAAGGATTCCTGAACTGAAATATATTCCCATTTATATTCGTAATTAATTTTACTTGTAATGCTGTCCTAATACTAGGCCTTTCATGACTTGATAAATAGCGTGTCCTAATACTGAAATCCTCTTGACAAAAATATTATTTTACAGCCACAGAAGCGTTCGCATCCTCACTGTCTATAGTACCAACTTCTAACCTCGGGTGGAGAGAAACAATGTAGACGAAATGCCTCGTTTAAAGGCACAAATGAATAGCTACCAATCCTTTATTCATGCGCATAATGCTGTTTTCAAGATTATGACATTTGAATGAAAATCACCATCTAAAAGATGAAACAAAGTATTGGCCTTTAAAATGTATGTGTCGTTAAAATTTGATTTTATTTTATTGATAATATAGGAAAACGTGAATTGTTACTTATAAATGAAACTTGTATTCGTTCAAAACTCACATTCTTTGCATCGTTATAGGTGACATTTCCTTTCCCATATTCGTAAAGTACACACCATGTCTTCCCTCCATGGAACCCTCCGTATAGACCAAACAGCTTGATCTCAATAGCTGTTAGTTTGCTTGCAGCTACGAACGAAAGGAGAAATAAAACACAAAGAGAAATGAACTGTCGTATAAGTCCAACATAAATATGATAGCCAAGTCAATTCTCTTCAATCAATTCAACTCAATTCCATCTTGTATAGAAACATTTGTAAAACACATCGAATAAAAGCATTCAATGTTACACAAATGAATACAATAATCATAATATAATACATTATTATGGTGACAGAACTTAATCGGGCACAGCTGTAAAATAAAATATATGAAGAAAAAACCCAGCTTCCCTGGTAAAATACATTGCGATAAACAGATATCCCGACAACTGCAGCTTAGTATGAAAAGATAAGATCAACTGCTTTCTTTCTTAACTTGATCATGACGTCACAATACGCTTTCATTTTGAGGTCGCTAACAAAAGGCGCCATTTTCTAAGGCGACAATCGCTCCGGGGTCACTGACCTACAGTTACCAAAATCGAAATTCAAAGCTGGACCAAACATTACACTTAAACCTAACCTTAACCCTAAAGTTTTCGTAACCGTTTATATAAATATATTATATACACACACATTTATCTTTACAATATATACATTCAGAAAAATATATTGAGGTCACCCAAAGAGAGATAGTGGCCACTGTAGACAGGTGATCTTTCAAGACATGTAATATCACAAAAAATTCTCTCTCGAGGGAGGTTTGGTATATAAAGTTCGCTTTCAGGGTAGGAACGATTTACTTTACCCGACGAGACCGCCCCCCCCCCCTTACCGAAATTTGGCTTATTTCATATTTTGCCTTACATTTATAATTCTTTGAATGACATCTAAAGAACCAAACGCTAGTTCCTTAACCACATTCATTTCTCGGTTATCCGTTAATGGAGAGATTTATGAATTAAGAAACTTGGGCCCATATTCATAACATCTTACAAAGTTAGTTGTCCACTAATTACATAGGGTATAGTCCCCCCCCCCCCCCCCCCCCCCACTCCGAGAACGGACGGACCACATGCGTGTTACCAAAATGTCCGGTAAAGGGGTACTTTTCGTGCGACAAAGTCCGGCCCGACAATAATTGTTAAAAAAAAAAGGGGTGTATTAACTTTTCACCCGGAGATTTCTTTAAAAAGGGGGTGTTGTTTCTTTTTTTCTCTCATCTCTTTGGACTTCTGAGAAATTATTCCGAATTTAGGGGGGTACATTGAGCATTTTTCATGATTTAGGGGGGTCTCCAAGGCAGGAAAAGCCCGCGAAAAGCCCGCGAAAGGGGGTTCGGAAATGTTGCATGCAGTCCTCAGATATAGGGGGTGCTTTCAAAAAGAGGGAACAAGCATATGCGTACCCTAAATAACACTGAGTGGGGAGGCCGGGGGAACTAGGCTTATTAAGGTTTGATGAATATTGGCCCAGATGTAATAGTTTACTCACAGGTATAATCAAGCTTAAATGTGATGTTTATCGCAATGTACGACTTTCCATTATTTGCATCACAGCTGGACGGGCAGCGATCTGACATCTGGCCTGGTTCCTCGCTCAGAGAACGGTTACATTGTGTGTAGTAGTAGATCGCATCCAGGTCCTTCACTCTTCCCGGTATTTCGTCGTTATTGTTGGTCCAGTATGCATGATCACAGCCAACTAGGTCTGAAAAGGGTACAATTGTGGGTTGTATTAAAGCCCCACTGCACTACTTATAGCTACTTGCGCCCTCTATAATAATGCCTAATCGGTGCCTGTTTCATTTCATTTCATTTCATTTCTCTCAGCCTAAACGGTTGGTACCCCATGATCCCCTTTTTCTTATTTTAATTGAGAGCTGATTTGATGAGATAACCACCTGTCAGTGATTTTGCAGTGAGGTATAATGCCCCCTGGCCAAACTAGTACAGACGGGCTTTAAAGCATAGATTATACACTTATATGTCACTTTTAACAATAGGATGAACAAATAATAGAGTTTTCACAATGCATTATTTACATATTAATCATATTTATTGTATGAATATCTTATGTATGAGAGCGACGTCAGCTGAAGCTGTGCTTATAAATATGACGATCTCTATTTTCCTGCCGTTACCATGGCCGTGGCATCATTGCCACACCGGGGCTCGAACCGTCCACCTTCTCGGTAATTTGGTGAAAGCTCCCGACTTTACTACTAGAGGTCCTGAAATCGATCATATCTAGTACTTGTAGCATCTCATAAAATAGAATTAATATAGATTTAGAAAAAGTAGCACATATAACGAGTCTTTTAAACAGTATAAGCCAAAGTTCCAACAAACCACAGGCTCCCGATTCATTATGACTATACCTCAATATAAATGTAATTTTATTCATTTAAGCCCTACTTACTTTTTCTGTAATCCATCATAGTACATGTCACAAGCCCCTGTCGAGCGAATGGGAAAAGAGGCAAAACAAGATATTAAATGCGATATTCAATTGTAATTTTACGAACCTAATCTTTGATATATTGTACACATGCATGTTTATGTTTTGTGAGATTCCATATTTCAAAACTAAAACGTGACGTTGAAAAAAAGAGGTTGAACTATTTCTGTATGCCGAAGATGATGAACTGTACCATGTTGTCCATTTACCACGACACCAAGATGTGTCTCAAATGATACCTAAAGTAAATTCATATATTTCATTGAGTTTACTCAAGAAATAAGGCGGTTTTTGAGATTTATTCGACTGTTTCGAAACCGCATCTCAAAATATCTTTCTAAGGTATATAATTTATGGGATCTTTCGAAGTGTATATACACATACATACAATCATATTTATTGAGCCTCTGTCGATTTCTTCAATACATAAGTGACATATCATGTTTATTCATTTGTATAATTATCTTTCCATTAATGGCCCTCCTCGTCATAATTTGACCATGTTCAGTAAAACATTTCAAACGTGGTGCAGACCTGTTTACGATAAGCTGAACTTCATCGTGGCGAAAATTGTATTTGGTAAGAAAATATGTATATCAGCCAAAAATATAAGAATATTTTTTAATTGATGCCTGACTTATTTTCACTGACCACATATTCATTGTCATGCATGCAATGTGGTAGGTATATGCTTTGTCATTGTTTGCATAGTCTTATTCTTTCGCAGGTTTTGATACTGTAAGGTTGTGTGAAACGGCGATAAAAAAATCCATTCCAAAAAAAGATGTGACGGTCGTACTTCACGGTCAAGGCTTACACAATCTTTGTCTCTTTCGGCCTTCAAATTTTTCTTTGTATGGCTGTTGTTTTAAGACAGAAATGGAAACTCTACATAAGCAGCGTCAATAATATCGGAGCAGCCATTTTCACAAACAAAACGTTAGTTGTGACATTGCTGTGGTTGTTCTCGTTATTTTATATTATGTTGTGTACTTGTGTTCCCTTTAATGTCATTGTGTAATGTAGCAGTGTGAGTTTTACGTTTCCTCTTATGAGCTATGACCATCGTATTTCCTTACTTCATTTAAATATTTTCGGGGTAGGCCTTTTATAAAGGGCTTTTCCTTTCTTGGCTGTTTCCCACTTTAATTTGCAGTATACCTAGATATTTTATTCACGTTTTCATGTACTGGTTCATGTAATGTTTTTAATTGATGATTAATTGTTTCATTTCTAATTTTCACATTTGAATTGAATGATAATTATACTGAATAAGCTAAATCGTCTATTCACCTACATTATTAAAACTGATTTCCTATAGCCCGAATTTGAATAGGTATGAACAACTTTTAACCTCAATAGGATCGTTTAACAATGTTAAATCTGAGATGCACGGCGCTACGTGTTATCAGTGTCTGTACTTTGGTGTTATATTGAAGCCCTAAACAAACTGCGCTTCAAAATGATCAAGAAGTGCCTCAAAAAAGGAAAAACCTTTGAGTGACCGGTTTTTACCATACTCGTTTTCCCCCAGTAGACTGTAACTGTTATGAAAATCGTCTGGCAAACGCAAAATTTGATTTCGATTTTCAATCATAAATATCTTGATAATCAGACAGGCGATAGGCTTGTAAAAGTCATAGGGTTCCTGACTGACCTAAAGGTTTATAATTATCATTGCAGCATGAGCCAAAATCAAGGATTTTTTTTTTAAGGAGCTAAGACAAAGTTACCGGATCCCTTTATAGTGTATTAACCAGTCTGATCGAAAGTAGATGATCATAAAGTTTTATTTCATAGGATGTAGATAAACCCTGCTGCATTTTCGAATTGAACAAAGCCACCAAGTCACACACAAATGGAAACATTTTTTGTATGAGTAGGCCTACGTCTCTTTCTTTAAATACGCATGAAATTTTGACTCCATAGATAAAAAAAAAAAAATTAAAAATTGTTAATGTTCAAGCGTTTACTTCCAATACCATCAAATTCGTGAGTAAGAATAAGGTAGCTCTTTTAGTAATCCAAGTTATCTCAACAATAATGGAAGCATATTTAAATATTTCACCTCCTTGATCACTACCTCTCTCCACCAAAGTAGGGTAAATATCGCCTATGATAAAGGTAATACTCGGGTTTTGACTACTCTATCTCTTCATTCTCTGTGTTTTAAAGAAACTCTTACAAAAAGTCAGGAAATGAGGAAAACAGTTTGGAAGGTCAAAGTTTGATGGAAATACCCCCCCCCCCAAAAAAAAAAAAAAAAAAAAAAAAATTACTTCGTTTATATTAATATTTTAGGCAAAGGGTTTACCCCCTTTTTTTGTTGTTGATTGATTATCCATATGATTGGGTCTGTCCTCATCAGACCGAAGCTGCAAAATAACCGATTTGGCCGATCGAAAACCTTTTCTATCCCAAAAGTAGGTAATGCTAATAATATATTCATGTACGTGGTGTTAATATCAAACGCTTTTAGAAATGTTATACCGAATGAATATAATCGAGTTATTAATGAAACATTGACAATGAAGTAAATTATGTTTTTCAGTCTAATTAGGTAAAACTTTCATGTACTATATCAACTAATCAACAATAAAATCTTGTCTGAACTCTAGTCATTAGCACTGCATGTTTTCTTCCATCATATCTCCTTTTTTATACAAATATACATACACACACGCGCACACACCCATCCTTTCTACTCACAAGTACATTATAATATACATGCATAATTATGTGTCGATCTGTTGGTATGCAACTCTAGAAACAAAATAAATACTTTTAAAAAGATTTGAATCAACTTTCATTCAAAACATTTGAACTAGATATGCGTGGACTGCTGCATTCAATCATATTACGTTTATTTGAAATTTAAAAAAAATAATTGTATGATTACCCTTGACTGTGATGGGAACGAACAATCAGATGTAGGCCTTGGTGCATCCACGCAGCATGAATTCACCGGACTCTTCAACAGTACAAAGAGGACCAAAATCAACAGCAAGAGGCGCAGGTGCACTGGAGTTTCTCGTATTCCACAGCTGTAATCGTACGACCACCGCCCCGTACGCCGTCTCGCCACTCGCCGTCCCAAAACCAAGTCATGACATTCGGACTTGTTGATTGGGCATGGCATTAATTCGTTGGAGTCCTCGTCCTTCGGTGAGGTTTCCATAATGTGTGTGTGTGCCTTCATGTACATGCTTCAAATGGCATGAATGAAATATCACAAATGGGGTTTTGTCCCGCGTGAGAAAACTGGAAATTCCGCTTCTAGTCCTAGGGCAAGAATGAGGAAGCTCCAAGAGTCATCGATGAGACATACTTCAAGCAAAATAAATATGAGCGCATTGTCCCGTAGCAGAGAGCACAAACCAGCTAGTACATAGAGATAGTTCTTAAACAAATACCCCCGAAGTTCTTGGCGACTGAAAAAGAGCTCAAATAGAAGCTAGTCTGATCTACCAGATATACCACATGACTACTTTGAAATCATGTTCAAAATCAAATCATTGCCGTCGATTAAAACATTGAAGACATTAATCTTTGCACGATCTCGATCTTCTACGCAGGGGCGATGTCCTCTCAATGTCAAATGCGGCTCGATCATCAACTTAAACAATCATTCATGACTGACAAAAGTGTATACTGGGGCTGTCGAATTTATGAAAAGGGAACTATAGTCATGCATATATCAACAACCTTGAGCGCAAGCATATTCACAATTCATAGAATAACGCGTGCATATAAAATATTAAACAAACAAACCAAAAATATAGAACGATGTAGTTCCTAATTTCTGAACTTTGTCCGATATGTCATGTAGTCTGATACGCAGACTTTAATAGTTAAAATATACTCTATTGATAGTTTTATTTCCGAATAGGTTTACTATGCAGTCTATATAGACACTGGCTTAAATCACTTGTCCGCCCTTTAGTTTGCGTGTAATTGTTTGGTGTGTGTGTGTGGGGGGGGGGGGGGACTTTTCATAAGGGCAGGGCTATCGAAGTGCTTTTTAACTTGTTTTCTTCATTCGTTCATCTTTATTATTTTCAGTTTGAAATTAATCTACATGCAAAGCCAATTCTATATTTGTATTTGTATTGTATTTATTAACATTTATTTCCTTCTCAACAGTACAATATGGAACACAATGTATATATAATTTATATATGTAACAATTATTTCAACATAGAGTATACAGTAAACAATTCAGATACGGAAGGAGGCGAAAACCCGGAAAGTATAGCTTGAGTTGGGAACGCCCATAATAAGTTAACACAGTTACCGAGAAAACATTATATATTATTATGAAAATTACATTTTATATAACAGACCGTTGATAAGATAGAAAAGATAGTGAATGGAAGAGGGAAAAATGATGCAATAGAAAGGTTTACACTTTTTTATGTTTGAATATCAATTATTTATTAAAAATCAATGTTTAATATTTGTATTTTGGGGGCGAATCGGGCTTAGAAAGAACATATTTATTTATTAATTAATATCTTGTGCAAAATGCCTACCTATTATCATTCATTCGTTCATTCATTCATCTCAGTTATTACCAAAATGTCAAATACATTTTATTTCAGCATTAAAATAGTTATGCATTAGGGAAATGTAGCCAACAGTTAGCAAAAGCTAGTAAAGTTTGGCTATGCTCAATACACTATTATTGATGAAGATGAGCCAATCATAACAAATAATCGTTGAATCACAAAGAATTATTTTTATTGGAGGTAAACATTGTATATCTTTGTTTGTTCATGTATGATAAGAGTTTCATTGTTTATTGTGTATCATGGGAGGTCACAATGAATAAAGTCTAATTTCCAAATGTTCGTATATATTTCAAAACCTGCTCAGCAAATACTGTCGAGCGCCCTTATATTATAATGTAAAGGGGGACAAAAAAAAATGTCACAACTGCAAAATAAGCAAATACATGGAAAGGAGACTACTTCAAAATGGTAGCAAACCCACT